CCACCTTGGGCCTTCCGCCAATTTTTTTTTTTTTTCCTGAGACAAGTTTTTCCTCCACTCTGTTATCCAGGCCTAGGTGCCAACTGAGCACCCCATCTTGGTCACTGCAAATTTCTGCCCTCCTGGGCGCAACAAATCCTCCACCTCTCGGCCCTCCCAAAGTAGCTCCACAGGTGCAAACCACCACCCATGCCTGCTAATTTTATCAATTTTTTTTTTTTTTTTTTGAAGACCGGCTCCACTGTAACCACTGCTTCCCAGGTCCCAGTTTCAAGTAATTCCCCTGCCTCGGCCTCCCCAAGTACTGGGATTTACAGGACACTCCCACCCAATGCCAGCCCCTAATTTTTGTATTTTTAGTAGAATGGGTTTCACCATGGTTGGGCCAGCCTGTCCATGACCTCCTGAACCGCGTGATTCTCGGCCCAAAGTGGCCTGATAATTCAGGTGTGACCACCACACCAGGCCTAATTTTAATATCATCTAATCAGAGGACAGAGTTGTGCTAGGTTTGCCAGATTGGTCCTCAAACCCCCAAAGTTGGGAATTACAGGTATGAGGTGGTCAACACCTAGGCTTTTTTTTGTTTTGTTTTCAGGGGGCTTTGGTGAGAATTGGGTCTTACCTTTGTTGCCCAGAACTTGTCCTTGAACTCCCAGGCTCCAAGCCACCGCTTCCCACCCTTGCCTTCCCAAAGTGCTAGGTTATAGGCATGGGAGCCATTGGGCCTTAGCCAAGAAGCCCATTTTTTAGATTGACAATATTAGAAAGACCAGAATTTATTACTAGAAATTATCTAGTACCTTTTATCTCAACAATATTTATTGAATGCCTGTATAATAAGATACTATGCCTAGGCCACTGGATACAATTTAAGTCCAACAATGCCAAGAACAATTCCGCCCACCAAGGAGCCTTACACCTAGTTTGAAATATAGCAATTCATTTTATTAAATATACAGGTGATAAATTACAAATGTTTATAGCCGCTGATAGCCAACCACTTAAAAGTGGGGGGTAAAAGGGGCAATTTATGAAACAAATTTTTTTTACTTCCAAATAAAAATAATAAATTTCGGGCCACTGGCATGGCTCAAATGCACTGTAATCCAAAGCATTTGCGGAGGCTGAAGGCAGGCAGATCATTTGATAGTTCAGGAGTTCGAGACCAGCCTGGCCAACATGGTGAAAACCCCCGTCCTCTAACCTAAAAATACAAAATTACCTGGGCGTGGTGGCACGTGCCTGTTAGTCCGCCAGCTAACTCAGGAGGGCTGAGGCAAGAGAATCACTTGGAAACCCAGAGGCAGAGTTGCAGTGAGCCCTGAGATCACGCTATTGGACTCCAGCCTGGTACCAGAGTGACCTCCGTCCTCAAAAAAAAAAAAAAAATTAATAAATTTTGGCCAGGCACAGTGGCTCATGCCCATTATCCCAGTAATTTGGGAGGCCAAGGCAGGCAGACGGCTTGAGCCCAGGAGTTTGAGACCAGCCTGGGCAGCACAGTAAGACCTCATTAGTATTAAAAGGTAAAAATAAAAAAGAAATTAAATGTACAACACTTTATTCTAACTACAAGGGGTAACAGATGTTTTGACAAGGAATCTAGATGTTTAAACAGAAATAGAATAAAGAGTTACCACTGTGGTGGCTGGGCGCAGTGGCTCACACCTGTAATCCCTGGACTCTGGGAGGCTGAAGTGGGCGGATCACTTGAGGTCAGGAGTTCGAGACCAGCCTGGCCAACATGGTGAAACCCATCTCTACAAAAAAAAATACAAAAATAGCCAGGCATGGTGGTTCATACCAGCCCCAGCTACTCAGGAGGCTGAGACACCAGAATTGCGTGGAACCCGCGCAGTGGCGGCTACAGTGAACTGAGATTGTGCCACTGCACTCCAGCTTGGGCGACAAAGTGAGACCTTGTTTCAAAAAAAAAAAAAAAAAAAAGACCAGGTGTGGTGGCTCACGCCTGTAATCTCAACACTTTGGGAGGTCCGAGGCGGGTGTATCACCTGAGGTCAGCAGTTCGAGATCAGCCTGGCCAACATGGTGAAACCCCATCTCTACTAAAAATACAAAAATTAGCTGGGCGTGGTGGTGGGCACCTGTAATCCTAGCTACTCGGGAGGCTGGGGCAGAAGAATTGCTTGAACCCAGGCGGTGGAGGTTGCAGTGAGCTGAGATCGCACCTTTGCGCTCCAGCTGGGCAACAAGAGCAAAACTCCGTCTCAAGAAAGAAAAAAAAAAAACAAAAGAAGTCCCCACAAGGAACAGCTTACTTTTGCCAGATTTTTAAATTCCACCTGTGGCTGGGGGCCCTCCCCATGGCTTCACTTTTAGTACATGTTTCTTCTGTTTCTTTTTTCTTTTTTTCCTACTGGAAGACCTCATTTTCCTTGTCCATCTCTTTGGCCTGCCGCGGCTGCTCCATTTTTTTGTTTTTTGTTTTTTGAGACAGGGTCTTGCTCTGTCATCAGGGCTGCAGTGCAGTGGCGCAGTCTCAGCTCACTGCAGCCTGCAACCTCTACCCTCCACCTCCTGGGCTCAAGAGATCCTCATACCTCAGCCTCCCGAGTAGCTGGGACTACGGGTATGTACCACCATGTCCAGCTAATGTTTGTATCATTTGTAGAGAAAGGGTTTCGGTATTTTGCCCAGGCTGGTCTCTAACTCCCAGGCTCAAGAAATCACCCACCTCAACCTCCCAAAGTGCTGAGATTGCAGGCATGAGCCACCGCACCTGCCCTTGCCTGCTTTTTTTTTTGAGACTGAGTCTCACTCTATCACCCAGGCTGGAGTACAGTGGCACGATCTTGGCTCACTGCAACCTCTGCCTTGTGGGTTCAAGTGATTCTCCTGCTTCAGCCTCCCAAGTAGCTGGGACTACAGGCACTCACCACCATGCCTGCCTAACTTTTGTAATTTTAGTAGAGGCAGGGTTTTACCTTGTTGGCCAAGCTGGTCTCAAATTCCTGACCTCGAATGATCCACCCGCCTTGGCCTCCCAAAGTTCTGGGATTGCAGGCATGAGCTACTGCACCTGGCCTTGCCTGTTTCTTGAGCTGCTTCAGAGGCTGCTGCTTGCCACCTTCAAGGCAAGACTTGGTTCTTGCCACTCTTACCCCTACCCTGCTACCAAAACCTACATCTTGTATTTTTTAGGCATTTCAAAGTAGATTACACTTTTAAATCAAGTGGTTAAGGTAGGATCTCCTGAAGTAGGTGAAATCTGGGCAAAGACTTGAAGGAGAGAAGGGAGTTAGCATGTTATCTGGGGACAGTAGTCCCAAGCACAACACAGCCAGTGCAGAAGCCCTAAGACAAGAGCATGACTGGCATGTTCTCGGAGCAGCACTGGGGCCCTGTGGGGGAGCGAAGTAAGGGAGAGAAAGAGAGAGTAGTAGGAAATGAGAGCTGAGGTGTAATGGGGAGCAAATCATGCAGGACCCTGTATGCCATTATGAGGGTTTCAATTTGTATTTTGAATGAAACGAGGAATTATTGGAAGGTTTTTGGGCAGAGAAGTAACGTGAGCTGACTCACATTTGAAAAGAATCAGTAGGCCCATTGCAGTGACTCACACCTATAATCCCAGCGCTTTGGGAGGCTGAGGCAGGAGGATCACTTGAGCCCAGGAGGCTGAGGCTGCAGTGAGCCAAGATTGTGCCACTGTACTCCAGCATCTCCTATAAATGAATTTTTAATACTAAAAAGGTTACTTGAGATTTAAGCTCCTAACCAGTTTGTTTCTTGTGCAGCCCACAGAACTTAATTGCCCAATCTCAGTCTGGTACTGGTAAAACAGCTGCTTTTGTGCTGGCCATGCTTAGCCAAGTAGAACCTGCAAACAAATACCCCCAGGTAAGCATTTATGAATTTAGGTTTCTACTAATGCATAGATAGAGGGGATTTCCATTTGATGGATTAAAAGCCAAGCTGTGGGCCGAGTGCGGTGGCTCAGGCCTGTAATCCCAGCACTTTGGGAGGCTGAGGTGGGCAGATCACCTGGGGTCAGGAGTTCTAGACCAGCCTGGCCAACATGGTGAAACCCCATCTATACTAAAAATAAAAAATTAGCCGGGCCTGGTGGTGTGTGCCTGTAATCCCAGCTACTTGGGAGGCTGAGGCAAGAGAATCATTTGAACCTAGGAGGCGGAGGTTGCAGTGAGCTGAGATCACACCGCTGCACTCCAGCCTGGACAAAAAGAACGAAACTCTGTCTCAAAAAAATAAAATAAAAGCCAAGCTATGCATTTACGCATTACTTTTTACACAAACTAAAACTTAAATTGAGCACAAATAATGTGGAATATCCTCTAACAGCAATAAAAATCCTGTTTCCTTTTTCATGGTGTGCCAGTTCTGGGATGCTTCTTATAGGCCTGGCTCCTTTACTTGCAGGAAAACCTGTTTCATCAGCAACTGTCATCCATTAGAAAGTTCTGAGAGCTTTTTGAGTAAATGAAAAGAAAGCTAATGCCAACTGGAACTTTAGATCCGTGCTCATGGGTAGGTTTTGTACTGCAATGGCCAGTGTCTGTTTCCAAGTGTCTTTACCTACCCAGAGTTCTGACACCTAAGAATTCTAGCTTATGACGCTGTAGCTTAAAGAATCAAATGGTGTACACTTTAATGTACATACTCTTTCCTTCACCTTCAGCTGGAGGAGTGGCTAAGTCCTAATGGTAATTCCCCTTTGCAAAAGAGCTATTGTCTTGAATTTGCACTCTGCACTCTTTCCCTACCAGTGTCTATGCCTCTCCCCAACGTATGAGCTCGCCCTGCAAACAGGAAAAGTGATTGAACAAATGGGCAAATTTTACCCTGAACTGAAGCTAGCTTATGCTGTTCGAGGCAATAAATGTGAGTATGTGAATGTGGTCCTAAATCATCAACCTAATTCTTTTTATTTTGAAACATTTCAAAACATACCCAATAGTTGAAATAATACAATAAACACATGTATTTTTCCACCTAGATTCAAAAACTTAACATTTTGCCATATTTGCTTTACATAAATGTATACATTTTTGTCAAACCATTTGAAAGTAAACTGCAGACATGCACCTCATCAGGACATTCCTTGGCATCCCAGCACTTTGGGAGGCTGAGGTGGGCAGATCACCTGAGGACAGGAGATAGAGACCATACTGGCCAACATGGTGAAACCCCATCTCTACTAAAAATAGAAAAATCAGCCAGGCATGGTGGCGTGTGCCTGTAGTCCCAGCTACTCAGGAGGCTGAGGCAGGAGAATCACTTGAACCCGGGAGGTGGAGGTTGCAGTGAGCCAAGATCATGCCACTACACTCCAACCTGGGCGACAGAGCAAGACTCTGTCTCAAAAAAAAAAAATTTTTTTTTTTTTTGGTAAAGACTTCTTTTTGTAAAGACAGTGTCTTGCTATGTTGCCCAAGTTGGTCTAGAACTCCAAGTCTCAAGCAATCCTCCTGCCTCAGCCCCTCAAAGTGATGGGATTACAGGTGTGAGCCACTAGACCAGGACTGAATTTGTTTAATTACCTAATCTACTTCTCTTCATCAGCAGAATAAAAACCCAGAATGTTTATGGCTATTGACTCTGGGGATTATTCTGTTAATTCTTTTTTGTTACTAATTTTTTCTACACTAGTTTTGTTTTACAACTAATACTACTTAAGTAATTTTAAAAGTGTTGTTGGCCAGGCGTGGTGGCTCATGCCAGTAATCTCAGCACTTTGGGAGCCCGAGGTGGCTGGATCATTTTAAGGTTAGGAGTTCGAGACCAGCCTGACTAACATGATGAAACCCTGTCTCTACTAAAAATACAAAAAAATTAGCCGGGCATGGTGGTGCACACCTGTAATCCCAGCTACTCAGGAAGCTAAGGCTGGAGAATTGCCTGAACCCGGGCGGTGGGGAGGTTGCAGTGAGCCGAGACAGCACCACTGTACTCCAGCCTGGGCAACAGCATGAGATTCTATCTCCAAAAAAAAAAAAAAAAAAGTTAGAGGTTTGGTTGAGTTTTATGGATCTCTGAAACAAATGTGACTTTATGAAAATCAAGTCTGCATACAATGTCCGAATGCCAACTTGAGGCCAGTTCTGAAAAGTAAATAATAAAATTAAACTTATTGGGAGATAATCATTTAAAATTTTGCAATTTGTATTCAAAGTAGAAGGGTAGAAAATTCTGATTTTTTTTTTTCTTTTTTTTTTTGAGACAGAGTCTCACTCTGTCGCCCAGGCTGGAGTGCAGTGGCATGATCTCGGCTCACTGCAAGCTCCGCCTCACGGGTTCAACAGCCATTCTCCATGCTGCCTGAGCCTCCGATAGCTGGAGCTACAGGCGCCACCACGCCTGGCCAATTTTGTATTTTTAGGTAGAGATGGGTTTCCACCATGTTGGCCAAATGATCTCCAACTCTTGACCTCGTGATCTGCCCGCTCAGCCTCCCAAAGTGCTGGGATTACAGGCATGAGCCCCGGCACCTGGCCTTTTTTTTTTTTTTTTTTTTTTTGAGACAGAGTCTCCCTCTGTCACCCAGGCTGGAGTGCAGGGATGCAATCCTGGCCTACTGCAACCTCTGCCTCCTGGGCTCAAGTGATTCTCGTGCCTCAGCTTCCTGAGGAGCTGGGATTACAGGCATGCGCCACCACGCCCAGCTAACATAAAAGCAACTGACATATTTGAAATAGATGCCAGGATAGAGCTGAAGGGGCAGAGTGCATTAGAAAGATAAGAACTGTGAAAAAGTCTGCCTAAGAGGAAGTGTCCCAGTCTGTTGTTGACAGAAATGTTGACAGAAAAAAAATAAAGATCAGATACTTCAGAGAGAATTGGATGATTACAGAGATGAGAAGAATGCTACTGAAGAGGATTCATCTTCTAATTGTTTATATCCTTACTATGTCTTTTCAGCATTTTTTTTAATTTTTGAATTTTTGTGGGTACATAGTAGGTGTATATGTTTATGGGGTACATGAGATGTTTTGATACAGGCATGCAATGCATAATAATCACATCAGGGTAACTGGGGTATCCATTGACTCAAGCATGTATCCTTTCTTTATGTTATAAACAATTTTAGTTTGTGGTTGTTTTTTTGGTTCTTGTTTTTGTTTTTTTAGACGGATTCTCACTCTGTCGCCCAGGCTGGAGTGCAGTGGTGCAATCTCAGCTCACTGCAACCTCCACCTCCCAGGTTCAAGAGCTTCTCCTGCCTCAGCCTCCTGAGTAGGTGGGACAACAGGTGCCCACCACACCTGGCTAATTTTTTTTATTTTTAGTAGAGATGGGGTTTCACCATGTTGGCCAGGCTGGTCTTGAACTCCTGACCTCAGGTGATCCGCTTGCCTTGGCCTCCCAAAGTGCTGGGATTACAGGCGTGACCCACTGCTCCCTGCCTGTTTTTTTTTTTTTTTTCAGACAGAGTTTCACTCTTGTTGCCCAGGCTGGAGTGCAATGGCGCAATCTCAGCTCACTGCAACCTCTGCCTCCCGGGTTCAAGTGATTCTCCTTCCCCAGCCTCCCAAGTAGCTGAGGTTACATGAGCCCACCATCACACCCAGCTAATTTTTGTATTTTTAGTAGAGATGGGGTTTCGCCATGTTGACCAAGCTGGTCTCGAACTCCTAACCTCAGGTGATCTGCCTCCCAAAATGCTGCGCCCAGCCCTTTTAGTTATTTCTAAATGTACATTAAATTGTTGACTGTAGTCACTCAGTTGTGCTATCAAATACTGGATCTTACTTATTTTAATTGTATTTTGGTACCAATTACCTTTTCAGCATTTTGTCTGGTTTTATGTCCATTAAATACTATAGTGCTATCCTAACGTTTCCTTAATATATTAATGCAAACAGCAAAACATTTGCATTAAAATATATAATAGGTTGAGAATTTCTCAGAAAGAAGAGCTGGCTTTGCCTTTGAAATACCCATGGAGGCGGGCACGGTGGCTCACGCCTGTAATCCCAGCACTTTGGGAGGCCGAGGCAGGTGGATCACCAAGTCAGGAGTTCAAGACCAGCCTGGCCAAGATGGTGAAACCCGTCTCTACTGAAAATACAAAAAAAAATTAGCCAGGTGCAGTGGCAGGTGCCTGTAATCTCAGCTATTTTGGAGGCTGAGGCAGGAGAATTGCTTGAACCTGGGCGGCAGAGGTTGCAGTGAGCCAAGATGTTGCCACTGCACTCCAGCCTGGGCAACAGAGTGAGACTCCGTCTCAAAAAACAAAACAAAACAAAACAAAAACAAAAAGAAAAAATGCAAACAAACAAAAAAAACAAAAGAAATATCCATGCATGGAAAACATCTTGGGTCTCCACAGTGGAAAGAGGCCAGAAGATCAGCGAGCAGATTGTCATTGGCACCCCTGGGACCGTGCTGGACTGGTGCTCCAAGCTCAAGTTCATTGATCCCAAGAAAATCAAGGTGTTTGTTCTGGATGAAGCTGACGTCATGATAGCCACTCAGGGCCACCAGGATCAGAGCATCCGCATCCAGAGGTAGGGATCTCGAGGGCAGAGGACTCCTCAGCCTCCCCATCTGCAGTGTCTTCTCCCTTCACTTCAGACGCCTCCTCTGGCCTCTGCCAGGGTCTTGTCTCTCGTACTCTCAGCAGCATTTGTTTGACAGGCCATTTCCATGTCAGCACTGACCACAGTCCCTCCCAGCCTGGGCTGAGAAAGGAGACTGCAACCCCTGTCCCCCACCCAGGCCTGCTGCTCCTCCTTCCCCTTCAGCCTTCCTGGGCATCTAGACCCTTCCAGCTGGGGAGGCTGTGCTTCCGCTGCTTCCCGGGGCCACCTGGGGCCACATGCCAAGGCCTTCCCTTGCAGGATGCTGCCCAGGAACTGCCAGATGCTGCTTTTCTCTGCCACCTTTGAAGACTCTGTCTGGAAGTTTGCCCAGAAAGTGGTCCCAGACCCAAACATTATCAAACTGAAGCGGGAGGAAGAGACCCTGGACACCATCAAGCAGTACTATGTCCTGTGCAGCAGCAGAGACGAGAAGTTCCAGGCCTTGTGTAACCTCTATGGGGCCATCACCATTGCTCAAGCCATGATCTTCTGCCATGTGAGTAGTAGCAGCAGTGGCAGGCCTGGCCCTTCCCTCGCAGCCAGCTCCCCACAGGGCTCAGGAGGACTGGATGCCCCTGGGCGCCGTGGGAAGAAAGGAAGTGGTTTGTTCTCCTAAGGTTTTAATGAGTTGTAAGAGGGAGACTTTGATTCCACTTCTTAGTGATTACTGGGGGAAAAAAACCCCAAGTAACAGCCAATGAAATAATCTTTAGATTTTTAAGAATATAAGCTGGGCAGCCAGCACGGTGGCTCATGCCTGTAATCCCAGCAATTTTGGAGGCCAAGGCAGGTGGATCACCTGAGGTCAGGAGATCAAGACCAGCCTGGCCAACATGGTGAAACCCTGTCTCTACTAAAAATACAAAAAATTAGTCCTGTGTGGTGGTATGCACCTATAACCCCAGCTACTCAGGAGGCTGAAGCAGGAGAATCGCTTGAACCCAGGAGGTGGAGGTTGCAGTGAGCCAAGATTGTGCCATTGTACTCCAGCCTGGGTAACAAGAGCGAAACTCCGTCTCAGTACAAAAACAAACAAACAAAAAAACCCAACAACAAAAAAAGAATATAAGCTGGGCAAGTACATGTAGTCCCAGCTACTCAAAAGGCTGAGGTGGGAGGATCGCTTAAGCCCAGGAGTTCAGGCCAGCATGGGCAACAACATAGTGAGACCTCATCATTAAAAAAATATATATGGCTGGGCACGGTGGCTGACGCCTGTAATCCCAGCCCTTTGGGAGGCTGAGGTGGGGGGATCTTCTTGAGCCCAGGAGTTCAAGACCAGTTTGCACAACATAGCAAGATCCCACCTCTACAAAAATTTTAAAAATTAGCCAGGCGTGGTAGTGCGTGCCTATGGTCCCAGCTGCTTGGGAGGCTCAGATGGGAGGATTGATTGAGCCCAGGAGGTTGAGACTGCAGTGAGCTGTGATTGTGCCACTGCACTCCAGAGTGGGCAACAAAATGAGATCCTGTCTCAAAAAATATATAAAATTTTAATATATATATATATTTTTTGTTTGTTAGTTTTTGAGATAGGGTCTTGCTCTATCATTCAGGCCAGAATACAGTGGCATGATCATAGCTCACTGCAGGCTTGGCTCTTGTTACTAGGGCTACAGGTGTGTGCTCCATGTATGTCAGGCTAATTATTTTTATTTTTGTAGAGATGGGGTCTTGCTCTGTTGTGCAGGCTGGTCTCAAACTCCTAGCCTCGAGCGATCTTCCAGTCTCAGCCTCCCAAAGCGCTGAGACTACAGGCACGAGCCACCATATCTGGCAAGAACATAGACTATTTAGGAATGAAGATCTTTAGCTAAAACCACACTCTCCCTAGATAAAAAACTAACAGCAGTTACGTAACTTATCTAAAAAGAAAGAAATCATATGACGAAAATTCTATTTGAAAAAAAAAAATTTTTTTGAGATGGGTTCTTGCCATGTTGCCCAGGCCAGCCTTGAACTCCTGGGCTCAAGTGTGTAGCTTGGACTGTAGGTATGTACCACCATACTTCATTGATAATTTTAAGCCTAACCTCCTAACTGGATTCAGCAGCGCCTTCATGTATTTTAATTGTGGCAAGCCACTTTTTTGCAGTTGTCTTCCTTTTGTTTTTAACAGGTCTGTTCATATAAAACAATTCTTTTCACTACAGACTCGCAAAACAGCTAGTTGGCTGGCAGCAGAGCTCTCAAAAGAAGGCCACCAGGTGGCTCTACTGAGTGGGGAGATGATGGTGGAGCAGAGGGCTGCGGTGATTGAGCGCTTCCGAGAGGGCAAAGAGAAGGTTCTGGTGACCACCAACGTGTGTGCCCGCGGTGAGCAGAGGATGTGTCCCACCTGGTCTGCCAGGCTCGGGGTCCCAGGCCCAGTTAGAGCTAGAAATCCTTGTACACAGGGAAGTCAGATGGTCTCAGGGAGATCGGTGGGGTTGGTGACAATATTCCTTTCTAGGAGAGACTGCATTTCCCTCAGGTGATAAAAACTCCCACAGAAACCAGGAGTCCTGACTTGGTGGAAGGAAATGTACAGGCATCTGACTGGTAGAGAACGGAGCCTGCTCTTCCAAGGGCGCCCATCTCCAGAACATTGTGTCTCCTGGAGGCTTACTGACTGATTTCATAATTTTGTTGGCACCTGCCAGTTTTGTTATTTTCCTCCAGGTTCTGCTATATGCCTGTATGTGCCCTCTCTTGTACCCAATTCCCAGAGTTGGCCTGTCCCCCCAGTTTTTTTTTTTTTTTTAGACAGAGTCTCGCTCAGTAGCCCAGGTTCGAGTGCAGTGGCACAATCTCAGCTCACTGTAACCTCCACCTCCTGGGTTTAAGTGATTCTCCTGCCTCAGCCTCCTGAGTAGATGGGATTACAGGCGCCTACCATCAAGCCCAGCTAATTTTTGTATTTTTAGTACAGCCGGGGTTTTGCAGTGTTGGCCAGGCTGGTCTTGAACTCTTGACCTCAGCTGATCTGCCTGCCTCGGCCTCCCAAAGTGCTGGGATTACAAGTATGAGTCACCATGCTCGGCCCCCCAAATTCTTTCCCTCTACCCAAAGTTGGTATGCATTTGACTTACCTTTGGACAACAGTGATTTTTGTCTCTTGTCCTTACTTCTCTCTGTCTCCAACTCTCAGGGACTCATTCATCACCTCTCCCTGCACCCCACCCCGTGGCCCCTGCTAGTTTGGTTTCTGTGCCTGTAGTTTTGCTTTTGGGCATCATCTAAATCTTGCACTGCATGGCCTTTCAGATCTGGCTTCCTACACTTGACGTCATATACATCTCTTAGTGCCGAGTTCCCTTAATGCTGAGTCATGCTCCATTGTATGGATGGACCACATGACTGATTTGTCTCCTGTCCTTGGTCTTCTCAGCTTCCATCTCTCCTTCCCACAGGCATCGATGTTGAACAAGTGTCTGTCGTCATCAACTTTGATCTTCCCGTGGACAAGGACGGGAACCCTGACAACGAGACCTACCTGCACCGGATCGGGCGCACAGGCCGCTTTGGCAAGAGGGGCCTGGCAGTGAACATGGTGGACAGCAAGCACAGCATGAACATCCTGAACAGAATCCAGGAGCATTTTAGTGAGTCCCGGGGAGGGTCCTGTGCCTGGCGCCCTTTACTAAGGGGGGCGGGGTGGGGAAAGGGGTAGGATCTTCTGTAGCCCCGAGAGAGGCTCTGTCCCTGGCACACTCCCCTCCTTTCTGACCATATGGCAGTTCTCAGGGCCACACCTGGACACTTCAGGACCCAAGGACTCCAAGGACAGCTCCCCCATGACCGGGCTTCGGGGCGTGGGGCTCTGACTGTTGCTGTCAGTGACTAGGGGCCCTGCTGCCCCCTGCTCAGGCACCCGGAGCCTTTGGGGATGAGTGAATGATTGCTGTGGCCCAGGGTGGGGCACATTCCTGGGCACGGTAGAGACCTGTGTATTTTTCCCCCAGATAAGAAGATAGAACGATTGGACACAGATGATTTGGATGAGATTGAGAAAATAGCCAACTGAGAAGCTCCACCAGCCACTGGTGCCAGCCCTGACACTGCCCCTGCACGGGAGACAAGTGCGTTCAGGGCACAGCCCCCGACATCACCCCAAGGACAACGGCATGAGTAGAGAGAAACTACCTACCTCACTTCAAATTATGTTTGGACTTGACAAAAATGTGTGCAAATGATGGGGGATGGTAGAAAAAAATTATTTACATAACCTTGGAAGATTAGGCATGAATACACAGAGATTTACCTTTTGGAAGTTTCATCTTTTAATTTGGCCAGTGTTTCCTTCATGCTAATCTAGATGCTGTGGCTGATTGCTTGCCTAGGATCTCTTGTGGCAGCCTCTGCTTGTTCTCTGGCTTGGAGTGGATGGGCCAGCCTCCAGCTCCTGTGGAAGTAATGGAATAGCGGTGAAAAGGGAACACAGAGAGGGAGGCCTCCAGTAAGATAGGTGTGTAAGCCCAGCCATCATGTTTGGAATGACATGAAGCAGCAGAGGCCTGAGAGCTGCTGCTTTGGACTTGGGGGTGGGACAGCTCACCTGAGTATTTCCAGCCCCCTGTCCTAATGCCCACAGCAGAAGGGGATTTGTTAAATAAGCACGGACCAAAATGCCAGCTTCTCCGACCTGTGTATATGGGTTTGTGTCACAGACTGTGACCTGTTCTTGGTGGGTGCAGTCTGTGTAGAGTGCACATCTGATTATTGGTGGGTCCCGTGCCTGTGCTTAAGCAAATCCTGTAGAGAAGTCATCGTGGACAATTAGTGGTGACCCTAGCTTGCCACAAAACCTGGTCTCATGAGCATCTGCAACATCCTTTTTACATCCTTTATATCACCTTACCCCATAGTAGCCCCAAGCAAATGTGATCTGAGGTTTAGATCCTCAGTGAAAATTGTGATTTCAAGTCTCTCATGGCTAGCCTCAAGGCAGTTCTAGATGTGGTCAGCAGTAATCACAAATTCTTGTTTTGTTTCCACACCCAGAAGGCAAGTTTTGTCAGAGCTGGGGAATAATTTCAGATATTTGACATATTGATTATAAAGGGCTTCTGAACATCTGTGTTTACTGCCTTTGGAATACAAACAGGTGCAACTGAGGGACTAGCTGCACTACTGCCATTTGTCTGTCCAAGGCAAGAGTATCACCAAGGCCTTAGCTCCAGCCTTACTTGGCATCTTTGTGCAAGATAGAGCAAACAACAGTAATGGACACTTCTCATACCTGGCCAAGGCTGTTGTACCTTGGCCAGGTAAGACATGTTGTGTGTTGGTATCCACAAAATGATGGCAAAGATGAGAGGAACCTGAATTGCCAGAGCAATATGAAACCTGAGCCAAGAGGAGTACTCTGCAGTTCTTTGGCTTTCAGAGTGGCCACTTTCTCTAGAACCTGAAAGAAGAGTTTTATGTGCTAAGAACCATTGTGATCCTAGGTCTTCCTTGTAGGCATCTCTGTATTTAGGCCAGATCTGTCTCCTGGGAAGGGAAGGAGCCAATGTCAGCCTCCAGGTGATTTATTTAGTCTGACATTACAAAGAGACCAATAGACTGCCAATTCTACCACATTCCCCTGGGGGGTACTTGACTATGTAGTCTTCTCTATGCTTCTGGTCAACTCTGACACATCTTGGAATTCTTGTAAGAAAAGAAATTTTTATACTTTTTTCTCCTTCCCTGAGTCCTGTGGACCAACCCTGAAATACCAAAAACAAGGGCAATAATTAAAGAAGTATAGACTCTTTAGTAGGCCACAGGCAGAGCAGACCCCCACCTTCTCACAGCACATACAACCTCTCTACTGGTGTAGCCCCAAGTCTGAGACGGAAAGTGGGAAGTAGGGTGCTGCAGACTGTTTGAAAGCAGGAGGAATGGGAATCTGGTAGAAGCATAGGTCAACAGTTCTTGTTTTTTTGGAGATGGAATCTCACTCTGTCACCCAGGCTGGAGTGCCACAGCATGACCTCGGCTCACTACAACCTCCACCTCCCAGGTTCAAGCAATTCTCCTGCTTCAGCCACCTGAGTAGCTAGGACTACAGGTGCATGCCACCAAGCCTGGCTAATTTTTGTATTTTTAGTAGAGATGGGGTTTCATCATGTTGGCCAGGCTGGTCTCGAACTCCTGACCTCAAGTGATCCACCCACTTTGGCCTCCCAAAGTGCTAGGATTACAGGCATGAGCCACCGTGGCCAGCCAACAGTTCATAATCAGGGGTCTTGGACCTCTAAGAATTCACTGGATGGGTTTCATGGAGTCTATGAAATATATATGTATCGGGGGAAATTCACCTCCGATATTCAACATGGGTTCTTTTCTATTTCCCTAAGTGTCAGCTGGTCTGAGAAATAAAGGGAAAGAGTACAAAAGAGAGAAATTTTAAACCTGAGTGTCCAGGGGAGACATCACATATTGGCAGGTTCTGTGATGCCCCCTGAGCCATAAAACCAGCAAGTTTTTATTAGTGATTTTCAAAAGGTGGGGGTGTGGGTCACAGAGTTCACATGCTTCAAAAGGTAATAAAATATCACAAAGCAAATGGAGGCAGGGCGAAATCACGACCACAGGATGGGGCGAAATTAAAATTGCTAATGAAGTTTCAGGCACGCATTGTCATTGATAACATCTTATCTCCTGACAGGGATTGACAGCAGACAACCTGTCTGACCAAAATTTATTAGGCGGGAATTTCCTCGTCCTAATAAGCCTCAGAGCGATATGGGAGACTGGGGCTTATTTCATCCCTTTGTCTACAACCATAAAAGACAGCCGTCCCCAAAGCGGCCATTTTAGAGGCCTCCCCTCAGGGACACATTCTCTTTCTCAGGGATGTTCCTTGCTGAGAAAAAGAATTCAGCAATATTTCTCCTATTTGCTTTTGAAAGAAGAGAAATAGGCCGGGCGCGGTGGCTCAAGCCTGTAATCCTAGCACTTTGGGAGGCCGAGGTGGGCGGATCACGAGGTCAGGAGATCGAGACCATCCTGGCTAACACGGTGAAACCCCGTCTCTACTAAGAAATACAAAAAAAAAAACTAGCCAGGCGAGGTGGCGGGCGCCTGTAGTCCCAGCTGCTCAGGAGGCTGAGGCAGGAGAATGGCGTGAACCCGGGAGGTGGAGCTTGCAGTGAGCTGAGATCCGGCCACTGCACTCCAGCCTGGGCGACAGAGCAAGACTCCATCTCAAAAAAAAAAAAAAAGAAAGAAAGAAAGAAGAGAAATATGGCTCTGTTCTGCCCGGCTCACAGCAAGTCAGAATTTCAAGTTATCGCCCTTGTTCCCTGAACATTGCTGTCATCCTGTTCTTTTTTCAAGGTGCCCAGATTTCATATCGTTCAAACACACATGCTTTACAAACAATTTGTGCAGTTAACGCAATCATCACAGGGTCCTGAGGCAACATACATCCTCCTCAGCTTACGAAGATGATGGGATTAAGAGATTAAAGACAGGCATAGGAAATAACAAGGGTATTGATTGGGGAAGTGATTAAGTGTCCATGAAATCTTCACAATTTATGTTCAGAGACTGCAGTAAAGACAGGCATAAGAAATTATAAAAGTACTAATTTGGGGAACTAACAAATGTCCATGAAATTTTCACAATTTATGTTCTGCCATGGCTTCAGCCGGACCCTCCGTTCAGGGTCCCTGACTTCCTGCAACATATGTGCAGTAGTTTGAGTTTAAATGTATTTTCCTGGCTGGGCACAGTGGCTCACGCCTGTAATCCCACCACTTTGGGATGCCAAGGTGGGCGGATCACCTGAGGTCAGAAGTTTGAGACCAGCCTGACCCACATGGCAAAACCCCATCTCTACTAAAAATACAAACTTAGCCAGGCTTTGTGGCACATACCTATAATCCAAGCTACTTGGTAAGACTGAGGCAGGAGAATCGCTTGAACCTGGGAGGCAGAGGTTGCAGTGAGCTGAGATCGCGCTGTTGCACTTCAGCCTGGGAAACAAGAGCAAAACTCCATCTCAAAAACAAAAACAACAACAACAAAAATAATAAATGTATTTTCCTGGGGAGACTCCCAAAATAGTACATGTCTTTTAATAAGGTAAAAGACCTTAACTGTTGCGGATGGTTCTGGAATGTCACCCCAGCATTACTACAGGTCATATTTCTTCCTTATTCCTTCCATATTCATTCCTGACAGTGCCTAGCTCCCAGGGCCATAGCTGCCTCTGTGACCTTGTGTAGCCTAGAGCCAACAGTGATGTAAATCTGCATTGAGCTTGGTGAGCTTTGGTCCCCAGGGATTCTTTTACTGATTTTAGTAAGTACCTATATATGAAATGATAGCTGGGTGGGTTGACTCATGCCTGTAATCCCAGCACTTTGGGAGGCTGAGGCAGGAGTACTGCTTGAGCCCTAGAGTTCAAGACCCAGCCTGGGTAACAAAGTGAGACCCTGTCTCCACAAAATACTTTTAAAAATTAGCCAGACATGGTAGTTCATGCCTGGAGTCCCAGCTACTGGGGAGGCTGAGGCAGGCAGATTGCCTGAGCCCAGGAATTCAAGGCTTGAGTAAGTTATGATTGTGCTGTTGCACTCCAGCCTGGATGGCAGAACAAGACTCTGACTCAAAACAAGAGAAAAAAACACCAGGAGCAGTGGCTCATGCCTGTAATCCCAGCACTTTGGGATGCCAAGGCGGGCAAATCACCTGAGGTCAGGAGTTTGAGACCAGCCTGGCCGACATGGTGAAACTCCACCTCTACTAAAAATACAAAAATTAGCTGGGTGTGGTAGTACATGCCTGTAATACCCACCTACTTGGGAGGCTGAAGCAGGAGAATCACTTGAACCCGGAGGTGCAGGTTGCAGTGAGCCGAGATCTCACCACTGTACTCCAGCCTGGGCAACAGAGTGAGACTCTGTCTCAAAACAAAAAAAAAGAAAAAGAAAAGAAAAAAGAAATGATAAACTGTTCTAGAACAGAGAAACCTGGGAAAAGGAATTTTTGGCCCAATGGAAAATTCTGGATATATTCATTATCTATAAATAATGCATGTTATTATTTTTCTTGAGTGTCATTCATTGGCTATATGCCTAAGAACTAATTGTTGATGTATTCTTGTTAATTGATGATTAACCTGAATTGAGGATTAACATGAAGATTAATAATAATTCATGTTAATTGAACTTAATTATGAAGTTTTCATATTACCAAGAAATCATTAATGAGTATGATAAGGAAACAGCCTGGTGCAGAGTGTCACACCTATAATCCCAGCTACTTGGGAGGCTGAGGCAGGAGGATCA